TCGTAGTTCGTGAAATAAAAGGCGAAGTCGGAGTCGCCCTGCACCCTGTCCTTCTGTCTCCATTCACGAACACGGCTGGCAGCGATCACCTGGAGGGACGTGTCTGCAGACCACGTCCCCTCGCCCTCCATCGCCTGCACTGCATAGGCTCCCGCCATGATGTGCCACAGCCCAAAGCCCGAGGCGAACTGTGCGAGCCGATGCAACCAAGGAGGCGGACTGCACATGACAAACTGGCTTAAGCGACTTAGCTCAGCACGACACCGTTCAAAACCCTGGGGAAGTAAACTCGGCCGGGAGCACCCTGATGTTCGTGCGCTTGCCCGCCACGTCCAGGGGAAACCTCCGGCAGCCAGCCAAGGGCGAGAAGACTGCATACCAGGGCCAAAAGCAACAAAACGGTTACCGACCGCTCGCTGCTGCACTCGGCCAACAAATGACCCGTAGACTGAAAGACTGTGACCAGGGGTGCGGTTACCCCTGATATCCCCCTGATCAGGGGTACCTCCCCTTATATGTTGCGAAACTCCCTGAGATCGCCACCCAAGAGAATTCGCAGCCCTAGCCTCGGACCAAGCCAATGCAGATTTGAAGCGATATCCCTCGTGTATCACCTCGCCACGGGCTGCCCTACCTGTACCTCAGGCGGACTCTGACTCGGAGCTCCAAGCCGTGGCCTCAGCAATCCTGACATTGCACGGGTGACATGGTCCAGCCCCAGACCCTGGCTCCAAGAGGTCCCCGCAGTAGAGGCATGCTCGTGGGAGAATGCCGGGGGACTCGCTGGCGCGCACAAACCTGATCCAGTGATGCAGGGCACGTTGCGCCCTAAGGTGCGGAACCATAAAGGCAGAGGCAGCATCGGGAACAGACTCGGAAGGGTCACGCCAAACCAAATCACCTTGTTGCCAAGAACGAACCGCTGCGAGAAGGTCGTCTACGCGGGTACCCTCCCTGCGATGCAATGAGTTAAGCTCGGCCGCATAGATGGCTGTGAAAGCGTGTCGGGGGACAAGGTCCGAGAGCTGCAACCCCGAACTGCGGGCTTGACGCTCGGCCTCAGACATAAGCTCGCGGGATGCAGCCAAGGCTCGCCGAGCATCAAAGGGACTGAGGCCTTCTTCGGGTACCACCCGGCGGCGCGTCCATGGTCCCAAGAACGGGAACTGAAAGCCCCCGAGGCCCTCACGGCATCTTCTGCAGTCAGCCTTGGTACACACGAAGCGCCGCAAAGGAACCGTGACATCACCGAACCGCAACTCCAGTAGCGGGACATCTGACACTGGTAAATGTGTGATCTCGCACACCTGGTTCCATATCGACCAATATACTGATCGGCGGCCTGCGCGGTCGAGCTCGACCATGTGCACCTGGAAGTCAGCCAAATTTTCGGCTGACAGCAACGGTTGAAGAGTGTGGGTGACGATAACCTCAACCTCGGCATCACCCATCACAATGACACAGGGGTACCTCCCCTGGGAAAAAAAGAAAACTCTAAGCCTTTTTGGATCGAGAACTTGAGCCACAATGGCACACGTGTGCTCAAGGTCAGCTTGCAATGAAGACTGCTCACCCATGCCTACCAAACACAAAGCCGTTTTAGCCAAAAATCCTTCAAATGCATTCCTGGACTGAAACGGGTGGAGAAGCGGTCAGCAGGGTCGGTCCTTCTTAAAATCCAAGGTCGGACGGGTCAGAGCACCGACAGAGTGCATCCGCATGGTCATTGGAGATGCCCGGCACGTGATCTATGTGGAAGGACATCTGCAAACGCTTTTCAAGAATGAAGAAAGCGCAGAGAGTTTGGCTAACCCCTTGTCCATAAACAATCCTCCCTTCTTCCATGACGCCGGCTCCGAAGCAGGGTTATCGGATCGGAAAATGGTGTGACAAGGGAGGGGCCCGACCCCCAACAGGTGATGAAGCATTAGCAGCAAAGCACCCTGAGCGGCGAGCTCCCATATGGCGATAAACGTGAGAAGGGAGCAGTCGGGCGGACCAGAGAAAAATGGCAGACAACTCTGCATGCGAGAAGGTGTTTTGGCAGGAAAGCTGACGGGAGCCCGGAAGACTAACGACGGAGGAGGTATCCGCACAATCATCGGCAAAGGCGACACACTCAAACTTCGGTAGAGCATTAGTGACGAAAAGTCGGAACCGGATGTCACCAAATCCAGCCACTTACGAAGTATACCTCACATGAGCATGAGGAATCAGAGAGGCGGTAGACGGAACGAGCCGGCGATGAAGATTGCACCCAAACACGTCGGGACTCCGGAACAACTTCGGCGAGGTCAGCACGAGTGCCCAGCTGTTTTTGGCAGACCCGAAGCAACTTAGAGCCGGGCTGGAATCAACGGAATCACACAAGGTGCCTGTGAGGACGGGCGAGAAAGAGCGATGGCCACTGTAGAGAGAAGCCACCGACGGGCAGAAGCAGGGAGTGAGAGGAGAGGCAGCAGAAATGTCAAACCCACACGGCCGGTAACCCGGAGAGTCAACCAGCCAGCGCCGAGGAAGTGACATGGCCTTTGCGACGAAGGGGCTTCCGAAAAACAAGGGAGTGCTCGCGGTTCACGAATTTCAGAAAAGGTCAGCTTTTTGGTGTGTGTCACTGGGCAATCGGCGTCGAGCTCCGGAACCGTCGTTATCGTCGTTGCTCTCACAGCGCAGTTCGGTGGCCGAAGTCGTCACCAAGGTTCTGCTACTATGCAGAACGTCTGGAGGCACTACAACTCATTTTAAACAACAGCCCAAGGCTTGGTGATTGATTCCCGAAAGGCAACCCAGTCAGCACAGCTTCACCGCAGCTCTCGAAAATGCACTGCAGAACAAGCACATCAACAGACTCGGGGACATGACATCGACATGAGCATCAGCAGCCATGCTCTGAGAGCAGCTCTTCCCACTGGCAAGGGAGCTTCTCGTCACACCATCCACAAGTCCAATCTCAAGAATGTCTGGCAGTCCGGAGCATGCGGCAAAGACCGTCCCTCTCGTGGAAGAAGCTGCCAGAGCTGTAACACTGCAGTCCGCGCCACTGGCCAGAGCATGAAACGCCTGGAGCACATGGGAAGTCAAAAGAACGCTGTCTGACTTCATGTGCTGTCTGACTTCCCTGCCGGCCGCGGCCTGACCAGGACGGCCGAGCAACTCCGCGGAGCTCGCGTCCCAAGCTTGGACCCGGCCACTTGCGCAGCCCAGCACCACGCACCCCTGAAAGAGACGGTGAAATGAAGCGAAGCAAAGCGAAGCCTGCAGTCACCCGAATGAAGCTCCTGCCTGCAAGTTTTCAGGGCAGGCCCAACAAGCTGCTGTGTACGTCTCGTTCTCATCACTGTGGTAGAGCTCGACAGCGCCTTCTCCTGAGGGTTCAGGCACAGTACAGCATTCGGTGCAATCTAAACCACGGAGCCAAGTGCAGGCGAAAGTCTTTCCCTCCAGAGCTTCCAACGGTTGCCAGCACGCACAAGGAGGCATCCTACCTCCTTCATTCACGACTGATTGCCCGCACGTGTGTCAAGTGTTCAAGTCGTACCCCGTCAAAGGACCCAGGATTCTGGAGGTCCTCTGGGGCAAAGAGGCAAGCTCGCAAGCCAGACATTCAAGATTTGGGCGGCATTCATGAGGAGGCAGTGCTTTATCTACCGATAACTGCTGTTGATTTCGCCATGGCTGACAGAGCTTGCATCGGGTCTTTCCAGCTGAACGCGTAAGGATGACACCCAAACCTAGAGGTACCTTGCCACATGACCGTGGTAGAGCCAGGCCTGGCTAAACTGGTAATGTGGAAGAGGCAATCAAGCGCTGTCCTCTCTAACAGCAGATGTCCCAAACTCCGGCCCAAGCGCTCATCGTCAAATCAGCACCGCACCACACGTATGAAGGGGCTGACATGAAAACACAGCTGCGGCTTTTTGCTCTTTTGCTCACTCAATGCCAGTGTGATCAAGCACCTCTGGTTCGGTGTCCTGTGCGAGAACTGCTGTTGATCGACTGTCGAAAGCTCCAGATGGCCTGGCCTAGTCCCCGAAGTTGAAGCCCTTCTTGCCACCTTTTCCTTTGCCCTTCTTCTGGCAAAGGAGGCGGCTCTTCGAGGCTCAGATGTCGCACCACTGCGGGAAGCAATTGCCTGGAATTTCGCCAGTGCTCCCGATCTCTTCTCTTCCTGCACGATGCGACAAGCTTCCGCGAAGCAGAGCTTTTAGGCTCCGGAAAGTCGCTGAAGGTGTCTTCAAAGACCCTCGTGCCCGGCTAGCCTTCGGGGCTGGCTCTGCAAGGGGCGGCTCTTGCACGGGCTCCTCCTGTACACACCCAGATAGTGCAGGTCAAAGGTGCTGCAGAATCACTCACCTCTGAGCAGAGTTCTGTATGGCTCTCGGATTGCCGCGCATGTCCCGTCCGAACCCTCATGCTGACATCCCGACGGCCAGCGCCCCAAATCGACCGCGGCATTTGGCTATCTGAATCTGCACTGGCAATCCATTGCCCATTCATAAGCGGCTAAATTCGATACAGCAACACCTAACAGCTGAAGAGGACATGCAGAATTTTGCACGGTGTGAAGCTCTCCGGCATACTCGCACGCAGGCTGGAGAGTCCGCTTCCGAAGACCTGCAGCACGTACGCTATGTTGTGCAGCAAGCTGACAAGGACTCGCCTCTGGAGCTATCGGAGCTTCATCAATGTCTTCAACATTGAGCTCAATCTCCTGCTCAAGAACTGCATGCTAATCGTCAGCACATTTTAACCTTGTGACCTTGTGTTTCCCGCAAGCATGTGCCGAATGGTCTGCATCCTCCGCATTGCTGGCCATTGGGGCAGCAGGTCCAGACGGTGCAGCCTCTGGAGCAGCATCTTCATCCTCGTCATCGTCCTGAACTAGACGGCACACTCGGCCTGCCACGACGCCTCAAGAGCAAGCAGAATCATCTCGTGCAAACAAGCGTCCAAATCCAGCTCGATCTCCTCTGGGTTGGCTTCTGTAGCCTTCCGCTCAGCAGCCAGCGCCTACCAGAGCACGTCCCCACTTGCTGTAGCAACGTAGCCGTGTGCAGACTTGCAAAGGAGCCTTGCGCTCAGCTGCAGCTGCAGCAGCTGATCTTGCTTCGATTTCTCGCAAAGAGGAATCCTGAAGTTGACCGACATGAAAGATGGTATCAGGACGCCAAGAAGATTAGCGAAGCGCCTCGTAGTAACCCAGGCCTTTGATGCCAAGCTTGAAGATGAAGCCATCCCGCGGCCCCTGCAAAAAAGAAGTGGCCGAGCCCTGTTGTCTGCACCAGCTGAACGGCGGGCCAAACTCTAGACAACCATGTTCGCAAACTTTCACCTCCTTGGCCACTCCCTCTAACTCATCAACGACAAGCCAGCAGCATCCAACAGCGATCGCTTGCCAACAAAACAATCGAAGGCTGTGCTTCCAACACAGCTAGAACGACGGGGACGAGCCCTTGTCCGGATCCGACCGCATCTTGCATCAAAAACTTCAAGGCTCGACCATCGAAGTCTCCGAGTGCACCGCCTGTCCCGCACACCGCGACTCAAGCGGACCCTCCATCATGTACGCTCTCGCAAAGAAGCAACCCGTCGTCTCGTTCCGGCCCACTCGCGTCGAATACATACCCGTCAATCACATGGAGCAGCCGAGAATCAAGACACCCCCTGAATTCGACACGACATTGGCTCGTCAGCTCCATGCCACATCGCATGCTTGCAATCACGAACATCATGTGGTCATGAACTGACTGTTGCAGTGAGCACGGATTCTGTGCGGACCTGCGCCGACTGATTTCCCAAGCGCAGAAGCAAAGATATGTTTCGCTGTGCGTGTGTGTAGGTCGAACAATCGAAGCTGCCGGTACACAGCCTCAAAGCCTTCTGCGGGCTCGAAATTGCCCAGTAGCTCCTCGAAAAGCATGCTTGAAACCACAACCCTCGAGCATGTGACACAGTAATCAACAGCAATGCGGGAAATAAGCCACGTCCTTCCGCGCCGTCTCAGCATCAGCCGTGACTCTTTGCCGCTTCGCATCAATGCCCAAAGCGCCGCCCTGCACTTGCCAAGTCAACATGTATGATGCATGCATCTGAAATCAAGAGTGGATCGAACAGGTCAGCTCCTTTCGCTTTCTTTCTTCCTCAGTTTTCATCTCCTCCTCGGCTGCCTCAGAGGACGAAGTTGCTTAGCCTCTCCTGCGCACTGAGTAAAAACACTTGCCGAGCATGGCGCTGCCATCGGATCGAGGACTTCACGCCCTTCACCACTCAGAGGCATGCGATGATTGACGGTGGATATACTGGCAACGGAGCTGCGTCCTGTTTCGGCAGCAATGTCGGTAGCATTGAAATGAACCTGCCATACCGGTGATTGTACAAGGGACATGGAATTCCAGAACCGTCGTGCAGCAGTCTGCATGCAGGCAGAAACCTGAGAGAACATAGCTTGAACACTGCGCTTGATTCGGAGCATGTCACGGAACCTGAGTCAGTCATGGATTCCCATCATACTTGACTGTCACCGGCCTGACATGCTTAGAAGCACACGTGTCTTCATTTCCATGTTGAACTTCGAAACCGCGCCAAACTTTCCAGAACCTGATCGGCATGGAATGTTGCAGCTGTGGGCCTCAAGACACGTCTGCACAAGGAAGCCCAAAGTCTGAGCCATCAGCTCTTCTTCCCGTCGCGGATCGCAGAATCTGCACCAGGAAATTGGCAAGATTATAGAGCTCATGACTGCACAGCAACTTCTTGGAAGCAGGCTGGGACGCATGCACCTTGGCCAGAAGCGGTTCTGAGAATCCGACGACTCCACCGGGGGGTTTGTGGTGCCACCATGAATCAGGAGCCAGGATGTAATGTCACACGACGTACGAAGATGTTAAGAGCCTGGTAACCTGCCTCACGATCTTGCAGCTCGGCGGACTTCCAGACTCAAGACCAGTGCAGCTGAGGTATAGGCATAGATGGCGCGCGCTCTGTCCACCTAGCACAGAGGATTCAATAGGACGAAAGATTTCAGAAGGTAGCTTTAGCCGTTTGGACCGGTGGGAGAATGCTCAGACCGTGACCTCACCAAGCATGGTTTCCATCTTAGCATAGCGCATGCAGGCATCCTTGATACGATCCTGGAGGAGCGCATACGGAAGCACCAGGGACTGAACATGCAGTCCAAAAACTGACTCCACATCACTCAAGAAAAAATGCTGGCTCATTTGTTCCCTGTCAGGCTTCAGCATGGTGTCGCACATGTGTGTCTCTTTAGCTTTCCCCTGTATCTTGGCTTCTCATGCCGAGCTGACTTCGTGGCCGCCTCAAGCCTGCCTTCCTACAGGCCGAAGGGCATGTCTATGCAGGCCCTTTCCCTCCCAACCTTCCTTCCATCTTCCGTCCCTTCTTCCTTCCTTCCCTCCTTCCTTTGCTTCTGTTCCTCTCTTTACTGAAACCAGTAAGTTTTCAGTAAGTTTTGTGTGAGCAAATGGGAAGTTTTCAATAAGGGAGGCCTGGGGCTTGGGGCCAGCACAGGCCCCGGTTTGCCCCGGTCCTGCGGCAGGGCCTCGATCGCTTGATCATAAATCTCCCGCGTGCGAGTCTGACCTCTTGCGGACGCCAAATGCCAGCAGGTTCAAGTTCAAGCATTCCCTCCATCGGGGTCGGACCAAACAACTCAGCCGTCTTTCGCAGCAAAATGCCGTACATCTCGAACATGTCCTAGGTGAGTTAATTCCTTATGGCTGCACAGCCTCACGGAATGCCAAACTGTGTGTGACCTTCTCCTCTACTGCTTTTGTCGCCCGATTGTAGATGGACAGAGCATGCCTGGCAGAAAACCATTCACGAAAACTGAAATAAGTCGAAAACGATCCCAGGCCTCGCCAGACCGTGCTCCTCTTCAAGTTTGGCATAGAGCATGTGCAGCCTGCAACGGCTCTTTTCCTAGCGGGTTCACTATCCGGGCGGGTTTTTGCTGCTTTTTACGTGTTTTTGCATGCCCCTCTCCTTCAGTGCTGTTTGTCCCACACCTTGAAAACACCGTCCTGCGCGATGTTTTCGCACTCTCCCTGATGTTGCGCTCTTCGTACCCGAGGGTTCTCTCTCATTCTCGTTTTCTTGAGAAAACACCGAAAAAGTCACGTGACTTTTTCTGGTGCTTTTTGGGATGCGACTTGGTCCGAAGCTCGAAAAACGTGGCCTGCGTGTTGTATTCGTGACTTTCGGAAACCATGTTTTCTGCTATCCTCTGCTTGCCGCTTTTTGCGCTTTTTGTGTTTTTTCTGTCTGTGCCGTTTTCCGTCATTTGCTCTGCTTGTTCTTTGGGGGGGGCGTGGGGGGAGGGGTGGGGTCGGGGGGGCTTAATGACGTTATGCTGGAATTTTAAAGTCAACAAGTAGAGTCACTAGAGGAAACGAACACGTAACGAACGAAACGACAGCAGGAGGAGGACGTGGCCGAAGGCACACGCACACCCCCCCCTGCTGGGCCAACCTACGAGCGGGCGAAGGGTTCAGGACGACTAGGGTAGGCCCTAAAGCCCTTAAAGGGGGTTTAGGAAGTGATGAGGGCAACCATCACCATGCAAACCTCATCACCAAGCAATCATCCCCATGCAAACATCACCATGAACAAGATCACTACACATACCATCCAAAACCCTTGCCAATAAAAGTTTTTTTCCAAGACCTAAAAACACAAAACCCCGAAAAAACCGACACAAAACCAGCCCGGAAAGTGAACCCGCAGGGGCTCTTTTCACTTGCTGGATTTCCGAACTTCTCCGACGCGTTGGCGACATGCGTAGGACAGCAGCGGCCTCCTCGCAAACTTTGATGGCACCTTCTCCACTGCCTGCTCGAAGAGATCCCTGGCCCGTTCCAGCCTCGACAAAGCACTCGTGCTGACCGTGACAACAGATTACTCCCTCGCGCGGAGCTCTTCAAGCTCGTGGCTTTCGCCCGCCATATCGCTCCACAAACTTCGACAGGTATGTAAGCCTTGCAAAGCCGCAAACGCCCAAAAGGTGTGCGGAGTTCAGGTACTAAGAAGCAAACCGCAAAGTTTTCTGACAGGCCAGGCTACCAAATGTCACCAACATGAGGCCATGAGAAGACCTGAGCAAGCCAGCTCAAGCTGTGAGCAAATGCAAAGCCACCGTCGCATCTGTCCGCCTTGATACCCCGCTCGTAGATTTTGAACGCATCTTCAAAATACTTCCGGTCCTCCAAAGCTGTGTTGACTCACACAGACTAGCAGCCGACACGAACGAAAAGCGGTGCGACCCTTTATGGCGGTCCTCCAAGAATCGCGCATAGCTCAAAATCAAGGCAGGAGATGCCACCTTCCCATCTGGGAAATCCAAAGCGAATACGAGCGCTTATTTTTTCAGAAAGGACTGTTGCGGTGTGTATGGATGATTAATGTTTGAGGGTTCCGGAGTAGTGATATCAGCCCAATCATCCTTTTGGAGAGGGATACGCGACTAGAAGCCTTCGATATTCAACTTAGTTGGTTTCCCGCCTAACTGTTTTGAAACAAAGCCCGGGTTGTAAAACACCACTGTCCAGCTTTTCACCTGTTCTATACAGCGTGGCCTCCAACCCCTCAGCTCAACCCGAGCCCATGTGGCTGACTTGTGAGAGGAGACAGTGAGACTGTGAAGGCTGTGCTCGCAATCGCGACGCCATCCATCCGTCTGCGCCGCATACAGTAAGGATCCGGAGATGAACATAATCATCACCAACTTTGAACACCACGGCCCACTGTCCCGTTGCTGCAAGGTGGCTGCATCTTGGTGTTCAAACAAGTGACCAAGCAAGATTGCAAGGCTTTCTGCAGTCAGCGCATCGCAGCATTGAAGGCGGAAGAAGCTGCTACGACAGGCAAGAAGCTTCCGCCCGCAGTGTACCGAGTTTAGTCGGTCATGAGGGCATGCAACACACCTGGCAGAAGGATTTCGGATGTATCGGTCGCACGACCACGAGTCCTGCTCGGGGCAAGAAACGAGATAGGAGCGAGCCTGCCGAGAAGTCCGAGATGAAATTAAGCCAGCAGAGCAAAATTATGAGGTCTTATGGCCTGGGTTGTGCATACATGGGCAGGGAGCTGAAGCCTACAAGTCAGTGTGCACACGATGTAACAAGCTCGGCCGAGGAGGCACCTCCTGCACCGGAGCAGCCTCCTACTGGCAGTGGCGACGACTTCAAAAACTACTTCGACAGCAGCGAAGGCTGCATGGTTCGAGCCTACTCCGATGGAAGGATGATCGCCTTGGGTACTCCTACTACCCGCCTAAGTCGAAGTCGGATCTAAAGACCGCGATTAAGAACAAGACGAAGCAGAAGAAGAAGAAGAACAACAACAACAACAATTCAATTGCACGCGGCGCGAGCGGGCTCAGCGCATAGCGGGCAAGTAGCCGCCTTGGCACTCACGGCACTGAAACCGACCTATAAATCGAGAGCAAGCTAGTTGAGGAGCGTTACCGCGGCTAAAACAGCGGAGCTAGGCCAAAAGCTGTAATACTAACAGCCAAAAAGTACTGAGGGATGAGGCTTTGCCTCAACCGGCCTTCAGATGTGCTATTATCCAATGGCTCCAGAGCTAGACAGCCAAGCTACGTCTGGCCAACGGCCCTTGCCCTATGCTTTCAGTCCGCTCAGAGTCAGACCGATCCACGCCACCCGTATTAGGCCGACGAGCAATTGAGACCTGCTCGCCACCTCCACCAAGCAGGA